TTGCGCTCGCATGTGGCGCACATGGGATGGAGGAATTTGGGTTTGGCGCTCAATCGAAGGTATGCCGAAGTGATCTTACGTCCACACAAAAATTCAGCACCACTTTCGTCTCTCAATACATGGATGCACCTACTGGTCGAATGCCGAAAATATACTGCTGCCAAAGACATCCATGGAGTTGCTTTGTTACCCTGCCACTCGCCTACGACTTCTTCAATGGCAGCCTCCTCTTCATCGAAGTCAGGTTCGTCCTCATCCGCTGAAGATTCACTAGACGTCTCTGCAAGCAACTCTTCTTGTGGCAACCGCTTTTCTCGGCCGTCCTCGTCGACAAAATATCCAGACCTAGTAGCATCCGGTCGAAAGGTGCTGTTTGCCACTTGATCAATGACTGTCTGCAGTTCATGCAAAGGTCCACTCAATGCATCCCTGCTGTAAGTGAAGACACTCCGATCTGCCGAAGATGTGTGGTATCCCAACGCACGCCTGACTACCACGTCCAATCCATGTTTGCTGCACCAGCTCAGCAGAGTGGCTTTCAATGAATGCGTTCCCAAGTCCTTTGAAGGCGGTCCCGCAACCCCTTCTACTAGGCTCTTCAACCACATGCCAGCACTACTCGCGCTCAAAGGAACCGAGAGGACCACTGTCTGTTTTCTCCAGGCGCAGGCAACAAAGGTTTGCCTTCCCCACATTGGAGCGACTCATCAGTCCTCAGCTTCATCCAAGCGCTGGCCCAATCCAGTCCTGACACCGAATTGACGGGGACCGACATGGGCAAAAACATAGTCTTCTTCTCGAGGGTCAAGCTCGTCTTCACTCTGGCAGCCTGAGCTTCAAGGAAGCCATATCTCTTTCCAGACTCGTCGACCACGTCCAGCTTCAAGGATGAGACATTGAGCGCATCACTGTATCGAGCTCTGCTATACGCTACGAAGCAGAAGAAGCCGGCTGCAATCCTGTCAGCGATGTCCCTTCGCTCATCCTCGACCACCTTCTCGAGATGACACAACTGGGCCACACTGAGTGGCGCTTTCTGCACAAGCCTTCTCTTTTTCAAGAACCATGCATGGCTAACACCCTTGACTCGACCGTACAACGTAATGTCAACTTCGCCTCTCAAGCCCAATGTGTGTTTTGCAAAGGACAGTGAAAGCAACAAACTCCTAGGGAATGTAGGCGCGAAGTCGTCTCGGCTTTTGAGAAAGTGGTAAACAACTGCTTCCCTGACAGGCCATGCCGGGGTTCCCAACTGTTTGCAAAAACTCATAAGTCTGAACAAGGGATTTGCACGATTCTGCAACGTACTCGATGCCTTTGGAGCTTCCTGCCAATGTGTCCGAGGCAAAAATCATCTTGCCTTGCGAGAAATGCCTAACTGCAATGTCCCAAGCCGAAGGCTCCGCTGCAACCAAGGTCGTCCACTTACGGACAGCTGCTTTCCGCTCTGAGGACAATCTTTCATTCCAGAGTCTTTCATCACAAGACCGCAAAACCTTTAACCCAGCTTGTTTGAAGGCTGACGTGGAACACTCACGCATGGGTTCAGCCAAACTAGGCTCTGCGTCGTTTGCGGTCTTTATCAACTCTTTCACAGGCAATGGCATTTCAAGACGTTTTGCAAAAAGATCTGATGGCCCGACAAAGCTATGATCCCAAGGCATCTTTAAGTTGTTCGAGAAAACATGTTTTGCAGACTTCTGGCATGTCAACAAATGTAGGCTCATGGATTCATCGCATAAAGTTGCCTCTGTAGAATCTGACTCATCCCTAGTCCGCTTCAGAGCTGAGGTCATGGCTGTTCGAGGAAAGGGCCCTCGCCAGTGGTGGAGTGGGAACTGTCCAGCCGGAAGTGCTCAATTGTTCCCTGCGTGCTGTAATGGCCAAGGACAAATCACCAAAATCCAGCAAGCACACCACACAACAGCGTGCGAAAAAGGCCCGGTCCCCCGCGGACAGAAAGGAGAGAATGAGAACCTCACAACTCCAACGTCGCCAAACAAAATCCAGAAAGGTGCAACTGTTGAAGCCTCGTTGAGTGCGCCACAGGTCAAAGACCACCAAGGAGTGGGGCATACAATAACCACACAAAGCACGAAATCCAACCGAGGCCAAACACGACGACGAAGCGCCAAAAACTGGGCGGCGAAACCGGAGAAAAAGTCCAGGTATCAAAGGCAGCACGCCCTTTGACAAGGGCACCCGCGCAGACCATGCACACCAGCGCCCGCACGAGAGGTTCTCGTTTCTACGAGGCACCCACCCTCCTCATCCCAATGCTGCGGATTCGGCGCATACATATTGTCAATGTCGTTTATTGAACTCATACATTCAACATTCGAAATGTCACGTTTGCGCTTGACATACATGAGAAACACACATAATTTTGTTTTCACGTTTTTCTTTTCTTTTCTTTTTGAACCGGTCGCGGAGCTCCCTACTCAGGGGGAGGGCTATAAAACGATATCACTTTCGTGACTTCTACCTTATAAGCAAGGTTTTGGTCGAGGCCCGTTCAGTGTGTGCGCGGTAATAGGATAGAAGTGGAGCCCATGCGTTAGGAGAAAGGTTGGATTGAGCAGGCGCGTTACAGTTCGGTGGGATGAAGGTTGAATTGGGGGCGCCCTTTGTCCTTTGGTTCAGGGGCGCCCCTAAGTAACTGAGGGGGGCTTGCTTGCTCTTTGTTTCTCCTGTCTTGTACCTGGACTCATAAACTCGGCACGCTGCTAAGAGTGGACCGATGAAAGCTTACTGCCAAGATCACGTGATTGCCTAACATCGAGCAACGAATACTGTTGTGGGGTGAAAACGACATTGCACTGACCTCTACTTGTTAGGCCCGGGGAAATAGAAAGCAGAGAGGTGCAAAGTCTCGCATTGAGGGCCGATGGGATAGGCTCTTTATACGCAAGGTTTTGGTCGAGGCCCGTTCAGTGTGCGCGCGGTAATAGGCGGTAATAGGATAGAAGTGGATCCCATGCGGCCATGCGTTAGGAGAAAGGTTGGATTGAGCAGGCACGTTACAGTGTGGGGGGATGAGGGTTGAATTGGGGGCGCCCTTTGTCCTTTGGTTCAGGGGCACCCCTAAGTAACTGAGGGGCGCTTGCCTGCCGTTTCTTTCCTTGTCTTGCATCGGACTCATAAACTCGGCGCGCTGCTAAAAGTGGACCGACGAATGTTTAACATCGAGCAAAGATTACTGCTGTTATGGGGCGAAGTCGACATTGCACTGTCTACTGCTGTTAGGCACGCGGAAATAGAAGGCTCTTGATATACAATGCCTTGATCAAGCCCCACCCACTGCTACGCGTTAGGACAAAGGTTGAGCTGAGCAAGACATTGGGGGGGGCCTAGCAACTCAAAGGTTGCTTTAAATCTGGTGAGCCCCCTCAATATGGGGTATCCGCTTTAAGGAGCAAATCCCATATCAAGACGCAACTGTAAAGTGAAACCGCAAATGTCCACCTGCGCCGTCCGAACGCTATCTCTATCAGAAATAGATTTTCAGTGTGGGATGACCTCTTTTCTTGCATTTCCTGTCACGCAATCTCCTTTCCTGTCCTCTACCCAAACTCCCACCCCTAGTCAATAGACAGTCAAAGTATATAGTCTCCTGAGCACTTCATGAAGCTAATGATGCACTATTCAGCGTCATTTGCATCACTCGCATCACCGAGACCCCCTAAAGCATACATGTTCACTACTTTCCGGACCGCCTCTTTTTTCGCTCTCCCCCACCAGGCTCTGGGTTCACCCAGCTGGGCCCACTTTGCAACCACCCCCCACCACTCCCCCTTATACCCACTTCGTTCGCCCATCGACAACTCCAGCCTAGACTATCGGCTGGCTTTCGTGGCTTTATTATATATATATATTTGTATTATGTATTATGTTGTATTTCATTGTTAAAAAAGAGATAAATATATATATATATTATATCATTCGTTCCTCGATGTTGGTGGGAAACTGGGCGCAGTACTAAGTGCGTCTTGGGAGTGATTGGATTGCTATCTTCGTGGCAGGCGTCAGAATCGCGGGGTTGCGACATTTGCTGAAGGTGCCATTGGGATTTGCCTTTGAGGGACAATCTTTGGAGGTGTTTGGGTTGCAAAAGCCTTGGCAAGGGCGCACGATGCGTGAGCGCTACATAAAAAGCTCACTTTGAACAGCCATACAGTATGTGTATATATATATTACTTTGAACAAAAACACTTTCCGCTGCTTTGCAAGAATGCCCTGCAAAAGTGTAATCCGTTTCCCGCAAGAGTGTCGAACAAGAGTGTCCCACAAGAGCAGTGTCGTACAAGAGTGTCAAGCGAGTGTGCCAAACAAGAGCAAAGAAATTTGTTGCACAACAGTGTCCTACAAGAGTGGCAGCGGAAGGAGTATCCTCGCAAGGGCCTCTTCCAGAGCTTTCCCAAAAGTGCCCTTGGAAGAGTTTCCCGTTTCCAAAAAATCTAAAAACGAGTCCTCGGAGAGTGTCCTGCAAGCATGTCGCACAAGAGTGTCCCAAAAGTTTTAAGAATGCTGCACAAAAGTGTCCTCGAAAGAATGGCTCAAAAGAATAACGGAGAAGAGTCCAAAAGTGCATCTTGCGGTATCTATATAGAAGAGTCAGTGTCTTGGAAGAGTATCACACGTGTACGTGTCCCACAAGAGTGTCCTGAAAGAATCTTATATACAAGGAGTGTCATTCAAGATTGTCGTACAAAAGCGGCCTGGAAATGTGTTGACAAAGTGTACTACAAAATGTCCGAGAGTGTCACGCAGGAGTGCTACGCAAAAGCTTCCTACAAGTGTTGCGCACCTATCTACTTGCCTTCCGGAAATTGTCGCTGCATGTATCAAATGAGCTTCGTTTTTCGCGGGGTCTGAGACTGGGATGTTAGTAGGTCGTGCATTCGGGCGCTGGCTTCTCCAACACGTGTCGACTCGTGGTCAGCACGACTTTGTCGATACTCTGCTTTGACGCAAAGTTAACCTTCGTCTGAGGCACCCACATTCAAGCGTTGGTTCAATGCACGAAAGCCCATGCCTTGGACGCAGGTGAAAGCTGAGAGCTGAGACACATGTTGCGTCACGTCAGACAAAGCTACGTCAATTGGTGGGTCACAGCACGACTTCTTGCTTTGTGTGCAAAAGGATTGGGGTCACAACAGTAGCGGTCGCACATTTGGATCGGCTGCAGACCCTCGTTCTCAGCCACTTGTGCGATTTTTTGCCTTGGAGGCATGCTCTATATCTGAGCACTTGGTGAAGTATTGAGTCCAGACCTCTCCTGCCCCGCAACATCAAAGTGCGGACTTCTAAAACCGTTTCTCTGCTGGGAATGCGGCCCGTGCTCGTCAGCACCCGTCATGAAAAAAACATCCTCTCCAAGCATGCGATGATACCTCCGCAAGAAATATGACATGTGAAAACAAAAAACAGCAAAAAAAAACTGTTTTTTAGGAGCCCCCTAAGGGGCCTTTACCTTCCTTTGTTAATATATGTTCTCTTCTTTTCAAACATATATACGCTCTTCTACGTGAAAAATGAACATATTCCATCACCTCGCAAAAACGTCAGAGGTCAGAAACTCGTAGCCATGGCCTGTGCCAGGCTGTGCCATTCGTGTCGTTTTGTTTCTTTTGCTTTGCACATGCAATATGAAAACAAAGTAAAGGTCGGTTTTGTGGCACTATAGACTATAGTCCCACCATGTAAACACGATTTTCTCAGACAACGCATTAGCCGCGTAATATTTGTCCAACTTCACACACCAATATTTCGCTAAACAATGCGCAATCCCATCTTGTAACCACAGCATTTCAACATTCCAACGTAACGCAGCTCTTTAACAATCATGTCTTGCTTATAATATAGCAGACTTAATGCTCCGCTGGAAGGCGTCACTCAGCTGACGGCATGCACCAACAGACTGAAACTTCTGAATGTCCCAACGAAGCTCTTCTATGCCTATGTGAGGCCACCCATTGCAATAAGCAATCGCAGTCGTAATGTAGTACCTGCCAGAATGGCTTCATAGTGCTGTTAAGGATTGTGATTGTTTATAAAAACAGAGAGAGTCATTTTAGGCAGGAACCAAATCATTAGTGCGAGCACTTCTTCAAGGAAGTGTGAGCTATCCTGTGTCCATGTCTAGTAGTTTAAGTAGCTAGTAGCTTACTCCCTTAAAGGGGCCAGGGATCAAAAAAATAATAAAATGAATCAAAAAAACTATAAATCTGAGGATCAAGAAAAAACAAAAATGAATCAAAAAAAATAAACGGACCCAAACGCATGGAGGGAAGCGCAATAGTCCAACTCGAAGCAGTGATCAAAAGAAAAACAAAAACGCATCAAAAAAAACAAACATTAAATCAACCTACACAAAAGTTCTTATATATGTGTGTACATCACACAGGCTACTTCAGCCTTGAAAACTGCAACCTTTCTGTGTTACCGAACCTTGGGACCAAAAAAGAGTGGATGGGGTTCTGAGCTTAGCCCCTCGCTATATCAAAGTTGTCATATTTGCTACTCTTTGTGGTCCAAAAGCCTTCAGCATTCTCATTTCAATCTCTGTCTTTCTTTCTCTCGCACACACAGTCGACTTCAGCCTTGAATACTGCAATCCTTCCCTGTTACCTGAGCTAACTTGCCACGACAGTAGGCATAGAAGAAGATAGTGGTTATGGCTGGGCTGTCGGTGCCAGGATAGACATGACACCTTACTGCTCTGGAACATTCTGTTTTTGGGAGGGGGACCGGACGCTTCTCTGAGGCGAGCGCTTCGGGTTCCAACCAGTTTCTGGC